CTTATCCTGTAGGCTGTCTCCCCCCCCCATCTCTCACTTACCTGATCTATAGGCTGCCCCCATCTCTCACTTACCTAATCTACAGGCTGCCCCCCCATACCTCACTCACCTGATTTGTAGGCTTCCCCCCATCCTTCACTTACCTTATCTATAGACTGTCTCCCTCCCCATTCTTCAGTTACCTGATGTGTAGGCGGATCCCCCATCTCTCACTTACCCGATCGGTAGGCTGCACCCCCCATCCCTCACTTACCTGATCTATAGGCTGCACCCCCATCTCTCACTTACCTGATCTATAGGCTGCACCCCCATCTCTCACTTACCTGATCTATAGGCTGTCTCCCACCCATCCCTAACTTACCTAATCTATAGACTGCCCCCCCCTCCACTTACCTCATCTGCAGGCTGGGAATAACTGGCTGCACTCTGTGCTGCTCCCCTGCAGGTTTAGTAAGGAGAGAGAAGCAGGGATATGATGTAGCTTCCTGTCCCTGTCTCTCTCCATACACAGTACTGGTTGGCACGGTATTGCACTGTATTTTCAATCTCACACGAAAAATAACAGAACAAGCCCATTGTTGCAGCATTTTTCTAATAAATACTGCTACCTTTCTAGCCACTCCTGAGGGATTGTATTATCTGTCACACCATTGTCAAGGCAATTTTAAAGCAGCACTATAGGGTCAGGAACACAAACATATATTTCTGACCATATATTGTTAAAACCACCACCTAGCCCCCTGGCCCTCTCTTGCCTCCCTAAATCTATTAATATCTTACTTGCCTCTGAATAAAAATGCATAACACCAGTCAGAATGTTCTGAGGTTCTGTGGGCAGCAGCTCAGAACTACAGGGTAGAAGCAAGGTCACAATCCGATAAATGTTTTTCTCCTGTACTCTATACCTATTAATCTACAATTGAAATGTTTTATTCAATTACTAATACAGGGAATTAGCCATGTGTAAAGGGAAATTAAAAAATAGTTTGTGTCTCCTACTGGGAATTTTCTGTTTCTGTATAACTAGATTTGAAAGCTCTGCCAAAACAAAAAGGACCTTATGGATCTAATTACTGAAATGGACTGATAATAGTTTGATTAAATATTCATCAGAGACACGACAAAGGTGCCTGAAAACATACAAAACATCCTCATGTCATGTCGGTAGGTTTAAATAATATTTCCAGTTTAATATTAAAGACAGTTTAGTTAACCCCTTCAATACAAATTCTTTCTGTTACAAATTTAGAGGAGCAATTGTTTGAAATGTTTATTTCAACTTGGATCTACTTTTAGTTACCATAGGAATGGTAGCATAAAGCAGGCTGTACTGTGTAGTTTTAGAGTCAGCACAGATGATCATATAATTGGTGGGGAAGTATGTATATATATATATATATATATATATATATATATATATGTAGGTTTAACTGAATAGACATCCTGATGGTCTTATTTTATTCAGGTAATACATCTGGGCAGGGCCGTCTTTAACGCGGGGCAAAAGGGGTAGCTGCCACAACAAGTTGTTAAATAAATAGATATGTGCTATTATCTATTTATTTTGGCACGCCGCCGCGATCCTCATCCATCCAATCCTTCACACAGAGGCAGAGTCACGGCAATGCTAGGGTGAGCCCGGAGTCACATGCAGCACAGTGGCTGTCATCAGTCTCCTGACTCTCCCCCCCACAACAAACAGCAAAGCGGCGTCTGATTCCTGAGCCCTGAGCCTGCAGGTCTTCAAAACGTTAAGTATTTAATTAATAAGGAATAAGGGGAGCTATTACTTGTTTAAATGGGTGTGGGGAGTGGGGGGTTGGAGAGGAGGGTGATGGGGGGAAAGGGTTAGTACACAATCTGTGCATTTATAAAAAAAAAAATATATATATATATAAAAAGTAATCTGCAAAATAAAAAAAATGTGTCATAAGTTGTGCTAAAAATCAGGCTAGGAATGTGCTTAGTTTTTTTCTTTTTTTTCCATGTCTAGAATAATGATACAGCCATTTTATTTCATACATTTGTGCTGTTTTTTTTTTCCCTTTAAGCACCATCATTTTAAGGATGTTCTGGCAAGTGACATTTGTTTTTTGTTTTTTTTTAACTAAAAGGACCACTCTAGGCACCCAGACCACTTCAGCTTAATGAAGTGGTCTGAGTGCCTGGTCCTTCTAGGGTTAACCCATTTTTTTTATAAACATAGCAGTTTCAGAGAAACTGCTATGTTTATTAATGGGTTAAGCCTTCCCCCTAATCCTCTAGTGGTTGTCTCATTGACAGCCACTAGAGGCGCTTGCGTGCTTCTCACTGTGATTTTCACAGTGAGAGCACGCCAGCGTCCATAGGAAAGCATTGTAAATGCTTTCCTATGCGACCGGCTGAATGCGCGCGCAGCTCTTGCCGCGCGTGCGCATTCAGCCGACGGGGCGGAACAGAGGAGGAGAGAAGGAGGAGAGCTCTCCGCCCAGCGCTGGAAAAAGGTAAGTTTTTACCCCTTTCCCCCTTCCAGAGCCGGACAGGAAGGGGTCCCTGAAGGTGGGGGCACCCTCAGGGCACTATAGTGCCAGGAAAACGAGTATGTTTTCCTGGCACTATAGTGGTCCTTTAAGAACTGAGCCATGTAGAGTTAGAAATACTGATCCCAGCTAATAAAATCTACTTTATCTTACCTTATCTACACAGGAATATTCAAGGGACACTATTGTCACCAGAACCACTACACCAGTAGAAGTTCTAGTGTCTATAGCTTGTCTCTGCAGGCTTTTCAATGTAAACACACAAAGAAAACACATTGGTTACATTACTGCCTAGCAGGGCTGCCATCAGAAATTTTGGGGCCCCTGACACAGCTCAAGGTCTGGGCCCCCCAGATCCTGCACCTGAGTCCACCCAAAGTGCTGCCCTTCCCCCCCCCACCTCCCCGAGTCCAGCCACACGGTTGCAGTGTGTGTACTGATTCTGGTGTGTGTATGGTGGATGTAGAATGTATGTAGTGGATGCAGAGTTCATGTGTTAAGTGGATGCGGTGTGTGTTTAACGGATGCAGTGTGTATAGTGGATGCAGATTGTACATTTGTGTAATGTATGAGGTGTATATTAGATGCGTAGTGTGTGTTTATAGTGAATGCAGCGTGTGTATGTGTAGTGGATGTAGTGTTTGTGTATTAAATGCGATGTGTATAGTGAATGCAGAGTGTGTGTTTGTGTAGTGGATGTAGTGAATGCAGAGTGTCTGTAGTGGATGTAGTGTTTAGTGAATACAGTGTGTGGATGCAGAGTGTGTCTTTGTGTAGTCGATGTAGTGTGTGTATAGTGAATACATAGTGTGTTTGTGTAAGTATTTAATGTGTGTATAGTGACTGCAGACTGTGTGTTTGTGTAAGGATGTAGTGTGTGTAGTGACTCCAGAGTGTGTGTTTGTGTAGTGGATGTAGTGTCTGCAGAGTGTGTGTTTGTGTTAGGAACTAGTGTGTGTAGTGACTGCAGAGTGTGTGTTTGTGTTAGGAACTAGTGTGTGTTTGTGAAGTGACTCCAGAGTGTGTGTTTGTGTAAGGATGTAGTGTGTGTATATGTTAGTGAATAGTGTGTGTAAATGTTAGTGTGTGTAAATGTATGGGGAAAAGCCTGCAGGTTTTTTTTTTTCCATCCATTAATAGTAATGTTACCATGGAGGGGGGAGACCACAGCCGGAGGTTCTGAGGCATGGTGCAGCCCCCGCTACCTGTATTCTGCAGGTGGCCCAGCACAGTTGAAATATACTCCCCAGCTACTCTGCTCTGTAGAAGTCTTGCGAGCCGTGCGGAGCGTTGCCATGGCAACGCTCTGACGATCGTGAGACTTCAACAGAGCAGAGTAGCTGGGCAGTATATTTCAAGTGTGCTGGGCCCCCTGCAGAATACAGGTAGTGTGGGGCCCACAGTGCACACATATATAGCGTTAATCGCTATATATGTGTGCACATAGTTAATGTGGGGCCAGGGATGACCTGAGCAGTCCGGGCCCCCCAGGCCCATGACAACCGTTATGGTTGTCATGCCCTGATGGCGGCCCTGCTGCCTAGTATTACCTCTAGAGGCCACTCATCAGACAGCATTCACGTTTAACACTCATAGATGTGTATTTATTCAATACATCTCTATTCAATTGTCATGGTTCTCTCTGTGACGTCCAGACAGTCAGATGTGGTCGCCCCAGAAGTGCCCAACAGGTAACTTGAACTGTGGACACTTTCTGCCTTAGTCCTGCTGTCTTGACTTTGGGCCACACTTCAGTTCTTGTTTCTGCCTAATGGTTATCCTCGCCTTATCTCCAGCACTGGGGGCTGGACTTTACCCGTGGCTGCTCCTGTCTATCTTGCCCACCTGAAACAGATCATTAATTAGCTGGGTATATAAGCACTGCCTCGTCCTTGGAACTTGGTCAGTTCATTGACTCTGGTTCACGTTTTTGGTTCCTGTTTCTGAGTATCCAGATCGTGTGTTCTCCAGTTTGTTCCCGGCTCCTGACCTTGGCTCTTCTCATCGTTTTCTCTGACCTCTGGCTTTCCCTGACTTTGGCTTATCTCTTCAACTCATCTACTTGTCCTTGCCTGTACTGCAACTTGGATTTAAATCCCTGCGCAGCCACCATGCACATACTCACAGGTCAGGTGGATGTGATCACCTATGGGCAAAACCAAATAAAACGTTTGCTGAGTATCATCACTTTTCTTGCTGAGAGAGGATTGGTGTCATGCTTCTGCGCAGGTCAGACACAGACAGGAGACTTATGCCAGGGTTTACTTCAGGTTCTTTATTTGAATTATTAGGCATGGTTCAGACAATGGAAACAATATGAAACAAGATAAAAGGAATAATAAAGATAAAGGGGAAACAGAATTACAGGTGAGTAAGGAGACGGTGAAATAGAGGTTTAGGCAATATGCCCCAAAACAGGATTACAGGAAATAGGAGAACAATTAGTAAAAACTAAACAGGAATATAAAAGGGATAAAGTATGACACATTGACGAAAAGCAATTTAGGTGATCAGCCTCTTTGGATTATAAATAGAACTGTAGATTCAGGGTGTTTGAGGATACTTGCAAATAATAACGTCCATAATATCCAGGCACGTTGGGAGGAAAACAATATGAAACCAAAGTCCGTTTAGAAATCAAGCAGGGTTGTATTGGATAAAGCAAGCTGGGCTGAATCAGGTTGGTTGTAGGTAAGTAGAGGTGGTGGAGGTTGTCAGGATTGAGGAACAGGTCTTTCTCAGTATCAGGTAATAAACAGTATGAGCCAGGAGCAGAGAACAACTTCTCTTTCTCAATGTAAAAGCCCTGTTGTGAGCATGGTGTAGCCTAATGAAGCCTCTTCATTAGTCCAGGTAGGTGAGGAGGATTAGGTGACTGAGGAGACTAGTGGCTAGGGAGGCCACTAGAGGCGAGAAACAGGTATTGCATGAAATAATAACAGAAGAAAATTAAACATGTTCCTGGCTTTTAGAGGTGATGATCAGACTATTGGATCCCCACACAATGGCAACTATCTCGGTATTTTGGAATTACTGTCAGAGTATGATGCTTTCCTGGCACAACACATCCAAACAAAGGCAAAGGATGTACAAGTTATTTGTCAGCAAATGTCTGTGAGGAACTCAAACAAATTATCGGGGATAAGATCTTAGAAGTTGTTATCAACCATATTAAAATGGAAAAATACTCGGTTTCTGTGGATTCAGCAGAAGATTCTTCTCATACTGACCAACTCAGTGATTTTTTTTTTTTTTTTTGATACTTAGAATGAACTCAACCTGTGGAGCATTTTGTAACTTTTTTACCCTCAACAGGGCATAAAGGAGAAGAAATGGCAGATGCACTCCTAGCATTTCTTAATAGTGTTGGACTTACCATACAAGAGTGCCGTGGACAAAGTTACGACTATGCAAGCAACATGTCTGGCCACTACAAGGGTATGCAAGCAAGAATTGTTAACCTGAATAAATATGCTAAGTATATACCTTGTTTTGGACATCCATTAAACCTTGTCGGAAGGATGTTGCAAATTTGTGTAGTGAGTTTTTTTTTTGGGGGGGGGGTGACTAGGGGTTGGGGACCCTAGTCACCTGGGGGGGGTATTTTTTTATTTAGGGCCCCCACCCGACGCTCAGGGGTGTGGGCCAGGGGGATGGACATTATGGCCCCCCCTTATTAGTATTTAGGGCCCCCACCCACCGCTCAGGGGTGGGCGCCAGGCTGGAGGACATTAGGCCCCCCCTATTGTAATTTAGGGCCCCCTCTTTTTAGTATTTAGGGCCCCACCCACATAATTTACTAATACTAAGTAATCTTTACTTTTAGTAAATCTTTAAATTAGTAAATTTGGCTGAAAGACCAATTTAGGTCTTTCAGCCTTTTAGTAGATAGCTCCCTAATACCGTGGGAATTAGGGAGTTATCTACTTATTCATTACTGTCATTATATTGACTGGCTAAGTAACTTACATTTTATATGAATGTATATTACTTGATTGTTGTAAGTGTTGCAAATGCTTACAGCTGAATCCTGGCTATGTTTGTATACTTTTTATTTAATACAGTAGTAATTCCACCTTCTTCTATGTGTGAGTGCCATGATAACCTTGGGCTATCGCTATACAGCATCTATCCAGGTAAGATGCCCAGTACATGGTCTGCTAGTAAGAGCTAGGCCAGGAGTGCGCAAAAGGTAGATACCCACATGTTGTAAAACTTCAACTCCAATGATGCTTTGCATGCCTTTAGAATGACATAGCATCATGGAACTTGCAGTTTTAAAACATCTGGGAATCTACCTTTTGGGCACCCCTGAGCTACACCATACCTGAACAGAAATGTAATCTTTACTCCCCAGTGTTGTAGGGGTTGAGGTGAATATAGCACTGACATTTCTGTCATTTCTCCATACATGAAGACCTTTTTATTTAGGTCGAAACGTGTTGTGCTGTTTGGCTTGTTATTTTATTTACTTTAAATATATTTTATTTCGGTTCCTGACTTCCATACAGAAGAATTTATCTGGGGGATCGGATACCGAAACACTTTATCCTGCATTAACCTATGAAATGCCTGCATAGTTTAGAGCCGACTTATAGTGGCTCTAAAATTTGTGAATGTTTCAATTACTTTATTATTACATAGTGTTCATACATACTATACCATGATGGTTTTTTATGTATGTCACGCAGGTTTTACTTGCCATTGACAAGTGTGAAGCGATACTAACCATTGTGTGCGCAATCACCTTGCTTTTATTTTGATTCTTACGTATGCATTCAGTGGTAAAGTTACATGACACTTGGGTGATTTTTTTTTTTTAAAGCAGCACTGGGTTTTTTGTTTAGCGCCATTGCGCCTTAATATTCCTTTTTTAAAATGATATTTCTTGTACTGCAGAATTTGTGATTTATCTGGTTAATTGTCCATGGGAATTTTTTTTTTAAGTAAGAAAGACTGACCTAACTCTTCTAGATAGGATTCAGGGTCACTGGATCAGCAAATATGATAGTCATTAGGGATGGCAGAACAGATACGCCTTCAGAGAAATACTTTTTGGAATTAATTTATAAAATTAATTTAATTTTATGGCAATACAGGAGGCTTCATATTTGCTTTACTTCCTTTACTGTTCCTCCCAGCAGCAAAGAAACAGTTAAGAGATTGAAAAAAGAAACAACCAATCAGAACACATCTAGACAGTAATAAGTGGCTGTGAAACTCCTCCCAATTCCTCTTTCTTTGCTGCTTGCCTCCCAGGTGAGTCAATTCTGATTTCAGACCTTTACAGGGAGTGCAGAATTATTAGGCAAATGAGTATTTTGACCACATCATCCTCTTTATGCATGTTGTCTTACTCCAAGCTGTATAGGCTCGAAAGCCTACTACCAATTAAGCATATTAGGTGATGTGCATCTCTGTAATGAGAACGGGTGTGGTCTAATGGCATCAACACCCTATATCAGGTGTGCATAATTATTAGGCAACTTCCTTTCCTTTGGCAAAATGGGTCAAAAGAAGGACTTGACAGGCTCAGAAAAGTCAAAAATAGTGAGAGATCTTGCAGAGGGATGCAGCACTCTTAAAATTGCAAAGCTTCTGAAGCGTGATCATCGAACAATCAAGCGTTTCATTCATAATAGTCAACAGGGTCGCAAGAAGCGTGTGGAAAAACCAAGGTGCAAAATAACTGCCCATGAACTGAGAAAAGTCAAGCGTGCAGCTGCCACGATGCCACTTGCCACCAGTTTGGCCATATTTCAGAGCTGCAACATCACTGGAGTGCCCAAAAGCACAAGGTGTGCAATACTCAGAGACATGGCCAAGGTAAGAAAGGCTGAAAGACGACCACCACTGAACAAGACACACAAGCTGAAACGTCAAGACTGGGCCAAGAAATATCTCAAGACTGATTTTTCTAAGGTTTTATGGACTGATGAAATGAGAGTGAGTCTTGATGGGCCAGATGGATGGGCCCGTGGCTGGATTGGTAAAGGGCAGAGAGCTCCAGTCCGACTCAGACGCCAGCAAGGTGGAGGTGGAGTACTGGTTTGGGCTGGTATCATCAAAGATGAGCTTGTGGGGCCTTTTCGGGTTGAGGATGGAGTCAAGCTCAACTCCCAGTCCTACTGCCAGTTCCTGGAAGACACCTTCTTCAAGCAGTGGTACAGGAAGAAGTCTGCATCCTTCAAGAAAAACATGATTTTCATGCAGGACAATGCTCCATCACACGCGTCCAAGTACTCCACAGCGTGGCTGGCAAGAAAGGGTATAAAAGAAGAAAATCTAATGACATGGCCTCCTTGTTCACCTGATCTGAACCCCATTGAGAACCTGTGGTCCATCATCAAATGTGAGATTTACAAGGAGGGAAAACAGTACACCTCTCTGAACAGTGTCTGGGAGGCTGTGGTTGCTGCTGCACGCAATGTTGATGGTGAACAGATCAAAACACTGACAGAATCCATGGATGGCAGGCTTTTGAGTGTCCTTGCAAAGAAAGGTGGCTATTTTGGTCACTGATTTGTTTTTGTTTTGTTTTTGAATGTCAGAAATGTATATTTGTGAATGTTGAGATGTTATATTGGTTTCACTGGTAATAATAAATAATTGAAATGGGTATATATTTGTTTTTTGTTAAGTTGCCTAATAATTATGCACAGTAATAGTCACCTGCACACACAGATATCCCCCTAACATAGCTATAACTAAAAACAAACTAAAATCTACTTCCAAAAATATTCAGCTTTGATATTAATGAGTTTTTTTGGGTTCATTGAGAACATGGTTGTTGTTCAATAATAAAATTAATCCTCAAAAATACAACTTGCCTAATAATTCGGCACTCCCTGTATAAGAATATTTTACACATATTTATATTCATTTATATCTGTCCATTATATATATTGTTTTGTCATACTTTGCTTTTTTGGATTAAAGCAATACCACCTTTCTCATGGGGCCGACCTTGGTCGGCCCACAGGACCTTTTGCCCCTCTCTGGGGCACTCAATACCCCTTGGGAGATCCCACCAAGGCTTATTTCCCTTTTACACCACCCACAGCGATATTCCCGTCGACCGCGACCTAGCCGCGGCTTTGTCTACATTTTCCCCGCTTGTATTAGCCTGTCAGCAGCTTCCCTCTTCCACTACCCACTGAGTTTTTTCCGCCGACCGCGATCTAATCGCGGATTTGTTTACTGCCTGTCAGCTCTCACACAACAGCGTTTTCTCTGTACCTGTTTCCCGCGCTTTCTCTTCAACGCACGCTGGCTCCGCCTCCGCCCTAGCCGGCGGCCATTTTCAATGTGTGGCAGTTTACCTCACTAACGGTTCTCTGCCTGTCAGCTCTCACACAGTGATCTTGTTTTTTCGAATTTAAAGATGTATCTCCAACTTTTCTTTGCATACCAGTTCCAAGGTAAGTACTTTATTTCTCTATCATATATACACATATTATTTGTTTTATTTTTTATTTGATTCTAAAAATCCCCTATTTTACTACACAACAGGTTCAGTTCACAAACTTTAAAGTGTGTTTTTTCCTGCCATCACATCTAAGCCAAACACTATCTGCCACAAGGGTGACCCCTGTTTTGTGGTTACAACGGTACCTTAAGAGCTCCGTCTGCTAACTAGCTTTCCATTAAATTGCGTCTCAGTGACATTACAGTGGGTGACCCCACTTTTTCTTTTGCATCTTGGGTAACCCCCATTTGCCTGTTTGGGTGACCCCCAAACTTAACTATAAGGGTTACCCCCCCTTTTATTACTGGGTGACCCCCAGCTATTATCAGGGTGACCCCCTGCTACATCCTCACAGGGTGACCCTCTGCCTTAAATTTAAATTTATTATTTTGTGTTTCTAGTTTTGTCCATAATGTCTGAACAACAGGACACTGTTTCTGCTGAATTAAAATCCTGGCTTTTTTAAGTTTCAAGCCTTCCCATATTGGATCCCTTAGAGGGTTCCACAGCACACCACCTACAGGTCGTAGACGAGTACTGTGCAGGGTACTCGGACGAAGAAGACCAAGGTAATACTACGTATGTCAAGGAATCCTACATCACCAAACCATTGGTGGTTAGCTCCACGCCCACTAATCCATCACAAAACAAGGATCCTTTAACTGATATTGTGCTGGATGGTAATGGCCAACCCCTTTTTGATCTTAGGATCATCAGACAACCCCGGTCTGCATAACCATATAGCTCAATTCTGCAGAATGTGGCTCAGAAAACCGCTAGAGAAGGATATCAGGAATAAATTACTGGCTGAATGCTCCCCACCTACAATTCCGGACAAGGTCGCTCTGACTCCCGAGTTTGATCCCCTCCTCATTACCTTCCTCAGCAAGTCAGGAAAAGACCTCCGCAAAGGCCTAGAACAGGGCCTCAAAACAGTCCAGGACAAATTATTGGATATTGCTGGTCCCATTATCCAAATTTTTATCTTGGCAGATGAAGCCATTGTTGAAGGTACCTTGGACCCACACTTGGTACGCGAATGGGCCCAAAGAGCCCTGTGTCTCCTGGGGAATGCTAACATGGCTATGTCCACTGAAAGAAGGAAAGCTGCGCTATATAAAATAGACACAAAATTGGCAGATTTGAGTTCCAAAGAACTCGGCCCAGAGGCCAACGGCCTATTATTTGGGGACCAGTTCATGCGGGACCTCAGACACCTTGCTGAACAAGGCCCAGCCCTCCCTTCACAGGGTGTTTCGAACTAACCGTTTTTCTGGCAGAGCCGGTCACCATAGAGGCCGAGCTACTGGCAGGTCTGCCTTCAACGGCTACAGGCCTCGACCAAGTGAACCTTGGGACTCTGGTGATGCCCGTCCCTATCATAGACAACTGTTTACCAACAGAGGATCAATCAGAGGACGTGGCTCTGCTTCTCTCCGGGGTCGATCTGCTCAAGGTAATGCACCTACCTTATTCTCTAGTACATATTGCAGGCCATTTTTTTTCCCACAGTGGTCTCTTCTCACTCAGGATCCTTGGATCCTTTAGACTGTTTCAGGTTTTCTCATGGATTTCATCACCGACCCCATACAGGACTCGCTGCCCCTCCCATACGGATGTCCCAGCCGGACACCACCGCCTTACATGCAGAACTCTGCAAACTCAGAGACAAGGGTGCAATCAAACCCTCTTCATCCCACCTCAGATTTGTCAGCAACATCTTTCTGGTTTGAAAAAAGTCAAACGACTTTCGCCCCATCATCAATCTGAGAGGACTAAACCAATTCATTGTGTACAGGCTCTTCAAAATGGAGGGCATACACTTACTCCGAGACCTACTTTGCGAGGGAGATTGGTTCTCCCATTTCGCCCTCAGGGATGCCTACCTTATGGTACCGATTGCACCCTGTCACTGCCCTTTCCTCCAGTTCATATGGCTTCAAGGGCTTTGGCAGTTCACTTGCCTCCCCTTTGGTCTCTCATCCGCCCCTTGGTGTTTCACCAAGTTAATGAAGCCAGTTATGGCTCTTCTCCAGTCCCAAGGTGTCCGGTCCATCGTCTACCTAGACGATATATTGATCATGGCACAAGACCCCCATACGCTTCAGAAACATACAAATATGACCAAATGTCTCTTACAAAACCTTGGTTTTGTGATCAATTTGGAAAAATCCTCTCTAATACCATCACAGTCCATCCTTTTCCTGGGTTTGCAGATCGACTCCCTTTGATCAATCCTTCAACTCCCGATGGCGAAAATAAAAACCATCAAGAAAGACATTCGGGGGGGGCGGGGCCGGACAGCCAAGATGGCCAGTCGCACACTCTAGGAGCTCCTGCAACGACAGGCACAAGAGAGCTGATACCAAGCGATCCAAGAGGGCCAGCGGCAAACGGTGTCCGAGTACAAGTACAGTTCGACATAAGCAACTGAATGGTACCGGCCCGGCACCGGTGCGCCGCAGAAAAACTTGTTACGGCCATGTGGCCTAAACCAGAGTGAAGCCTGGGGCCCGGGGAAAGCGGCCGATTTCCCTGCACAGGACGAGCTCCCTAGCGAGAGCAAGCTACAGCCCTGCTACCCCCCCCCCTTTGGACCGGCGGGGGATATCCCGGTCCCCGCAGGGGACGAATAGCCCCACAAATCTAACTGCCCAGGCAACACGAACTCTGTCCAAACGGGACCATCAGGGCCAGACGCTGAACAAAAAAAGGCGCACTATTTCCAAGCCACCTCAAAACACACTGGTGTTCTTTGACCAGCTTTGCGCCTACCTCTGGACAAAATGTGGGGCCAGGAGACAGCCCTTCAAACTGGCGGTGATGGCGGTTATGGCGTGGATCCGCCCGACAGTCCGGCACTGCCTACGGGGATGCCCCCCATGGGGCCCCAGGACAGCCTCCCGTCGGCAACGAAGCCAGGGAGCAGAAAGGCGGGAGAAGGCGCAAAGTACCTCGGACGACAGTTCACACGCCCTCACGATCCAGAGCAGGATCTACCGGAATGCCCGACCTGCCCACCGTCCAGCAGTCCCAGCATCTGTCGCTCTGCAAAGCACATCACAACATGGAGGTACTGGCGGGGCCCACAGCAACATTAAGCGCACTGCAGCAGGGTCAGGGACCGACGGATGTATCCAACGGAGAGCCTTTCCACCAGAGCGCGGAGGGGGCAACTGCCATGCCGCAACAGCAAAGTCGCCATTACCTTTCCGAGCAAGCGGGCCGCCGCCGGGCAAGACTCCCCCAAGCTGGACAATTCTATACACCCGGTGGGCATAGGCTGAAAGGGACGTCCTAAAAAGCGAGTGGTGCTGGACTCTGGCCTCTACAATACGCACCCAAAGGGACATTGTCACAGACCCTCCTGCAATCGGCCTAGATGCCAACTTCCACACAATACCCGATATGCCACCAGCTAAGCTTCATTTTAGGCCTGTTGTCCACTTATTTTATTTTGTTTTAAATGCCTCCTATTTGACTTAGCTGTGCATTTGAATTAGTTGTATGTCGGCAAAGCGGCGAGCTCGACCCTAGCGGCTTACATAATAAGCTGGTTTATCTAGCCTGCAACCACACAGCTGGTAAATAAACTATGCCCACTGTGATATACTTGACAGGCAGTCGAGCAGTAAATACACAAACATTTGCAAATGAACCCTATCTAGCATGTAGCTCAGCATCTAATTAAGATACAAGCAGTTCCCCCAGGTTTTAGCTACCTTATTTGATCTACTCATGTTAAGTCAGTGAACTAGGTCCGTAACTATTAGTGACCAAATACTTATGTGATTATGGCCTGCAAACTTCTGGTTATATGCTGTATTACTTTAATCTCGCTCATGTAAGTTTAGCATAATTATTCTCTGTTTGACTAGCCTATGACATAGCGTAAAACCCTACTATCTAGAAAGATACAAGCGATACTGTTCCGTGTTATGTTTTGAAATGCTTAAGCAACGTAAATATGTACTGTTCATAACATTACTAACTTTAAAAAAATGTGCTAGACCCAACGTCTACCCCAGTGTTTAAACTGTTTCTCATGCGCTAGAGGACTGCCTAGAGTACCTCACAAGCGACTGTTATAATCACATGCACAACTAAAATAAAGAATAAAAAAAAAAAAGAAAGACATTCGGAAACTATTGTCCTCTCATCAGGTATGCCTTCGTGACCTGGCACAGATAATAGGACTCCTGTCCGCATCCATTCAGGCCATCTTCCCCGGCCCCTTACACTACAGGGCGATGCAGCGTCTCAAGACGAGGTATCTGTGCAGATCCCATTCCTTAGACCAACCTATACTCCTTACAGAAGAAGTTCGTCTATAGTTGGATCGGTGGCTCCAGAATATGGAAGCTTGGAATGGGAAAGCGATCTTCGGTCGCCAACCGGACTTTGTCCTAGAGTCCGATGCCAGCCTCCTAGGTTGGGGAGCCACTTGCTCCAGCCTTTCCTCGGGGGTCTCTGGACTCGGTCAGAACGATCCATGCACATCAATTGCTTGGAGCTGATGGCTGGCGCTTTTGCGATTCGCAGTTTCGCCAAAGACATTTACGACTGCTCTCTAATTCTGAGAATGGACAATGTTTCCGCTGTCCGTTATGTCAATCGTCTTGGAGGTTCCCGCTCCAAGCTCATATCAGACCTTACCAGGGAACTCTACCAGTTCTGTCTAGGGAGAAATATCTCCCTTCAAGCAGAATACCTTCCCGGGTCAGACAACCTCGTGGCGGACTGGTTCTCCTGTCACTGGAGGGACGCCAGCGATTGGCAGCTGGATCTGAATGTCTTCTACCAGCTACATCACCTTCGCGGGCCCATCACGTGGGACCTCTTTGCCTCCAGACTGAACCGTCAGACAGATGCGTTCTTCAGCTGGCTACCGGATCCGCTGTCACAAGCCATAGATGCTTTTCTACAACCCTGGCCATTGACAGGAGCATACGCTTTCCCACCGTTCTCCATGATCCCTCGCACTCTACACTGTCTCAGGGTTCTGGGAGTCTGGATCCTGTTAATAACTCCCCTCTGGAGAGCCCAACCCTGGTACCCCAACCTCTTAGAGATGTCCGCAGACTACCCTCTGCTTTTACCCCTCACCCCAGACCTTCTCCGAGATCCATTCGGAGCATATCATCCCCTGCTGGTGGCCTGGACCGTTTCAGGGGATCCTGGTTTGTCCCGGGCCTTTCAGGCTCAGCTCGCAACCTCCTCTGGGATTCATGGGCCCCAGGCACCCAAAAATCATACCTTTCGGCGTGGTCAGCCTGGGCTCGCTGGTGTTTGGAAAGGGATATTGATCCCTTTTCAACGACTCTGGTGAATATCATGAATTTTCTGTCCTCTCTCTCTTTGACAGTGGCAAATCTTATCGTACTATAAACCTTTTCCACTCTGCCATCTCAGCAGCTCATAGTCCGATAAATACACTCCCTGTCGGACAACACCCTTCAGTGTGCAGGCTCCTATGGGGTATCCGTCTGTCCAGACCTCCAGCACCCTGTTACACCCACCTTTGGGATGTGGCACAAGTCTTATCCTTTCTGGAGGCCTGGCCTCCCAACTCAGAGCTATCCCTACGGCAACTCTCTGCCAAGTTAGCCCTGCTACTTTGCTTGGTTTCTCTATGTCGGGTCTCCGACATCAAAGCCTTTGACCTTCATGCAATTACTTTCACTCCTGAGGGAGTACGCTTCTCCCATTGTACGTCGCACTAAGGTCCCAGCATCCTCCGTCTTTTATCCATACTTCCCAGACAGGCCTTCTCTGTGTGTTGCCCGTTGTTTACAATGGTACGTTACTCTTACCACGCTGCTTCGGCCCCCGTTGGGACCTCTTTTTGTGTCCTACGTTCGTCCTCACCGTCCGGTGTCTTGTCCCACCATTGCTCGGTGGATCAGGTGGCTCCTCGGCCTTGCGGTCATAGAGAAGCCCTTTGGCGCTCATTCAGTACGGGGCGCGGCTGCATCCTCTGCATTTATCTCTGGGAATTCACTTTCGGATATTTTGACCTCGGCAGATTGGTCAAGGGAATCTACCTTTCGTACGTTTTATTTCCGGCCTCAAGCTCATCCGGGTTTTCATTTACTCTCTGGGCGTTAAAACAGCAAATATGAAGCCTCCCGTCTTGCCATAAAATTAGAGATTATTCTAGCGTCAGTGACCTAATAATCAAAATTTTATTAAAGACAGGAGGCGAATATTTCCCACCCTACGTGTGCTCGGGTTTTTTCGCACGTCCCCTTCCCTTTTTCTTCCAGAATGGGATACGCAGATAGGGTGTTCATACTGCTTTAGTTTTGTTCATAAGCTTATTCTTTCATCCACATAGATATGACTATGTAAATGTGTAATACTCCAGAAGCTTTTCATTAAGATATTTTCAAACTAGGCATTTGTATGTAGGCACCTTGCCAATCACACCATACTTTCACAAGTTTCTCTTCTTTTCTAGTGTGAAATAGCCTTCACCCCTCTGCATGACGACATCATTGAGGATCTGTTGTCCCAACTTCCAGTTTCGTTTACAGGGTTAATCTTGCTTGTTTGAAGATTATGCGTTCCAGTTTACATGGTTGACATTACTCCAGCTGCATCAAGAAAGAGGAATTGGGAGGTGTTTCACAGCCACTTATTACTGACTAGATGTGTTCTGATTGGTTGTTTCTTTTTTCAATCTGTTAAAGGACCACTATAGTGCCA